GATCCTGCATACCTAGAATCAAGTTTATTGATAGAACAAAAACTTTTGTTGTCTTGGAACTAAAAATCAAGCAATCAATTTTGATTCCCTAGCTTGTTCTCTAATTGTTCCTCACATCACCAAAAGCCTAGTTTTTCCAACTTAAGGACAGAGAACGATGAGGAGATATTGTAAGATAACAAAATGAGTAACTATTGCAATGAGGATGAAATCGCCAAAATGGTCCCTTACACAAAGAACAGATGGAAATGACTAAAGTTGTATGGAGTTTGATATTTCTGAGCAAAGAGAGGAGGAGACCAAAATTTCACCTGCTATATACTGTTTGATGGTAAATGTCAACTCATAGTTGCTTTTGAGCCTAGACAGAATATCATCCTCCGCACACAAAACAACTGGTACGATATTGTACTTGGACCAATGGTCTTTCAAAAAGTTGGCGCAAACATAGAGCACTTTCTCTCGTCTGCAATTATGTAATAAGCAAGCATCATTCATACAGACAAAAGGAGCAATATCTGACCTGAGCGAGTCACTGAGTTCGATCTCTTGCCGCACGAACGTCTTGTGATGAAACTCACTCATAAATATGGCAAAACGAGGATCTTTATCCTCATAAACAAACTTGTTAAGCTTCTTATAAGTTGTAATAGATTTCTGCTTGACATATTCCCAAACGTTTTGAGTGATGATGATATTTCTGAAACACGAATAGTTGTTTACCAGAATTGTAGAAGAAGCAATAGATGTGGAAGAGAACAAAAAGAGCTAGACTTGATCACAAAAAGTCAACAAAAAGCTTACAATACTATAGATTCCTCGATGCGTGAAAATTTCAGAAAAAAAAAGATAGACAAATCTACCAAAAAGCGTGAAAATCAAAAAGATAAGCGATATCAATCTCTACACGCTAAGAAATTGCGTATGACACAAAAATAACAAGACGTTGATGAAAGAAAAACAAAATAAAGGAAAAGAGATGAAAAAGGACGTATCAAAAGCTGCAATGTATTAGAATTTCACGTAATTTTCAATTAAGCATGGACCTTTCGATCACCCATAATGTTACAGATGATGTGGAGATCTGGAAGTTAAGTGCAGCGAGTGTCAGAAAGTTGATTAGAGAAGAAGATACAGTTGAAAGTCCTCTTTTATAAGAAAAAAGTGTCAAAAATGTCTCATAAGAAATAAAAAGGAGAATAAATTACTCAAATTTCTCTGCACAGGAGAGACCTCGAAAGAAAATAAACTTACGTGAAGAGACTGGAATCGAAGACATCCATGAAACGAAGACATACTTCAGCGTCTACAATAATTGCATGATTTCCAAAAACCACCGTGTTCTTGCCCTCATTCGTGTTCCTTCCCAGATTGTTCAAACCTAAAGAAGCGCAAGTCTCACAGCTGTGCAGTCCACACGACAAGTCCTCACGAAGGTACCGTTCCACGGTTCGCTACAATAACGATAAAAATGCAAGATGCAATAAGAAACCTATGAGAAAAATGAAAACTAACTCTGAGACATCTGTTTTTGATTTTGAAATTTGTAGAAAACACCAACCGATCAACAATCCCGCTTTGCTTGACGTTTAACTCCATTAGAAGCTAAAAAGACTCAAGCAGTAAAAGAGTAACGTCATTTGATTAAAACATGAAACGTATGTTCCTGAACGTTGAGAAAACATGAAGTTTCTACATAATATTCTAACGCGAAACGGAATGATTACGGATAAGTCCT